TTATTTAAAAATTCGGAATCTAACATTTTTACTTATTTTGTATTTCAAACAAAGCTTTCTATGTGGTCTTCGGATACCTTTTGTAATGGGTGTAAATTGGATTATTTCCTTAGTGCCCATTTTTTTGTACATCTTTCATCGTGTTTATACTGCTTATCTTAAAGCGCAGCACCATTAATCTTCTCAAGGAGAGGTAAGTCTTCTTTAAATAAGGCAGATATTTGACTAATCTAAATCCATTTCTTTTAGCATTCGGGGAAAACCCAAAAAACAGTTTGTTCGCGCTCAAAGGAGAGTTAAGCCGGTTTAAAAAATTAGAGATTTTGTTTTTAATATATTGTGAAATAAATAAATAACTAAGAAGAACCACTAACTTTCTGGCCGCATCTGCACTTGTTGGTCCGAATATGAAGCCGACATCCGTCAGCTGGGTATCTCCATCTCGTTGACGGGCTAAAATCGGGCGGAATCAGCTAAGCTGATTTACTTCGAGTTGAGCGGAGAACACTGAAAGTTGCCAACGGAAGAGAGCCACTAAAATAAAAAAAAAAACCATCGCTGGGTGTCAATGACTTGGTCCTGAAATCTTGAATCCTGAATTCTGAATCCAGAATCCTCAGCTCCCTTCCCTTTTTCTGTTTTTGGCTAATGAAAGTGGACAGGGACTGTTGGCAGCAGAAGCGCTTAAGTCAATTTGAGTTTGAAGCTCGGCGAGCGAAAACAGTGAGGACATCTCAGGATGTCTCCGACTTTCTAAGGACATCGCAGGACACCAAAGTTCAGCTGGCCAGGCGCGTGTTTCCGCTTAAAACTTTTCTGTTTTTCCAGTTGCTGTCGTCAGCAATTGAGGCGCCCCGAATCCTCGACAGATTGTTGTTACTGTTCTGTGCGGTGTTGGCTAATTGCGATTTAATGACGATGACAATTTGATAAGAGGATTTGCTGCATTGTCCATCCGCCCCGTTGTCTCCGTGGAATCGACCAAATAGATCTACCAATTGAATCAGCCATTTCGTTGGTACACCGTACCAAAATCAGGACTTTAACAGTACAATGAAAATTATATATCAAGTTGTTTAGGAAATCCTTTTAAATATATTTTATTTCAATGCTTAAAACGATAAATAAAGTTTAAAAATGTTTAATAAAATTTTTGCTATTTTAATAAGTTTTATTAATGCTTATTAATCTTAAGAAAAAATTCTAATATTAATTAGACGCATAAATAAGTTTCCAAAATTATTTTCATGATTAAAACCCAACAAAAAAAATCTAAAAAATTGTTTTCTGTGTACCTTGGAGACAATGCAATCACATGAGCATTTTACGGGCCGGCGAACCAAAAGAAAACTGCGATAAAAAGCCAATGTCAGCAGCAGGAGCGTGAGTAGAAATCCCAGTCAAAGGCGCCTTGCCGCAGACAATGGCTGTAAAGTAACTGGAAAAATTGAACATGAATTGAAATAAAAGCGATAGTAATTGAAATCGAAAACCCGTGGAAATTCGCAGCACGAAATCATTGTCATTTTTGGGGGTGAAAAGTGTATGAGATTTTTCTGACTGTGTCATTAAAGAAGAAGCTAAGCTTTAAGTTGAAATTTAAGATTTTAAAGGGGTAGTTTTATGATTTTCTAGAATAAATAAAATCTGAATATTAAATTGGCATCTTGTTTTTATTTCCAGAAATTCGATAGCTACATACATTTTCGAGAATAATCAAAATCTAAATATTAAATTGGTGAGCTCGTTGGCATCTCGTTTTAATTTTCAGAAATTTATTTCTTCACTTTTCGATTGGCAAAACCACAAAGGTGATATTTTTCACGTCAATGGTATTCATTTTCTGTTTTTATTTACCCAATTTTTGGGGTTTTTATTGCGGTTTGTCCTACATTTCCCTTAGGTTCAAATGTTCTTTCACTTTGATGTGGGTAGCATTCGCATATATTTATAATTATTATTGGCATTTTCAAGGGCCAATTCGGACCCTTTTTTTATTATTTGTGGTGTGGCCTTATGATAACGGTTGAAAGCGCCCCTCTTGTCAAAATGAGTTTTGATAAAAGGGAACCGAATAAAAACCGAACAAATTTGTCCAGGCCGCAAAAAGTTTTCGCCTGTCACTTTCGCGCTTTCAATTAATGCGACAAATGTGTGACTATATATGGGTATAAATACAAAAGGAGCTTTTGTTCCTTTTTGCAAGTCTGCGTTTTTCTTTTTTTCGGGCTGATACGTGACTTTGCACGAGAAAGTCAATGACTTTCACAGACTCCCAAGTGGCTTTGTTATGTCCGTTTTTAAAATCCCGCTTTAAAGACCGAAACTATCGAATCAATTAATATGTTTGGTGGCCATGAAAGTGGCAAGTGGCGATAAGCCAGCTTCACCCTATGTGGCCATACAAACTGCTTCAATTTTAATGTCCTCAAACTGTCATAAACTGGAAATGCACAGTAAAAGCCATAAGTATAAGGCGGGGGCGCTGAGCAAGTTGAGGAAGAAGCTAAAGCTGTCAGCTCAAGAATTTAAGTTCGACAAGCTTGCGAAACTATCTTACACTGAGGATAAATTATTAAAAATATATCATAAAAATTTATAAAGTTTAAATATTTAAAATATTTTAAACATTTATCTAAAATACCTAAAAAGTTATACAAAATTAAAAATTTATATTATTTTTCAAGGAAGCGCGAAACAATTGCTTTGAAGTCGTTTTTAAAGGTTCCTAAAAGCATGCTTTAAAAAAATAAAATTTTTTGGCAATTAAAAAAGTGTTGCCTAATTTTAGACACCTTTTAAAAGATTTAAAAATCCTAGTGACATCAGAAACACATAAACATAAAAAATGTTGCATAATTTTAGACACCTTTATAAAAGATTTCAGAAACACCACCTCTTTGTTTTAAGGTTCGTTGGTTTAACCTTCTTATATTTTTTTTGGTGAACAAGATGTCAGGCGCTGTTAAACATTTAAGCCAGAACCAAAGCCAGTTTTTTTTGGCCAAGTGCAAAAATGCCCCGCAGGCTGAAAGCGAGTCAGACCAAAAGCCAACATTCCCTATACATGGTGCATACATATATAGAGAGCCACATGAGAATACGTATATACAAAGTCGTGCACATGAATAACCCGTTGGCACGACATATCATCCAGTCCATTCTGCTGGCTGAAAATCTCTTGGGTGGGCGTGGCAGTTCGCCTGCAGCTTTCATTAGTTCAATGTCAATGTTTTGTGTTGTGTGATCCTGGGGAACTGGAAAACTGGCGACAATATGCGACATGTGGTGCCCAACCATTTGTCTGGTTTGGATTTTTAATTTTAAGCGCATGTTGTTTGGTCTCCTCTGTTTTCCCTCTGTTTTTCACCTGCTTGCCAGTCTGCTGATTAAGTGAGTTCAAGCTGCAGGTGTCCTGCATTAGGACAACCCGCTGCTCCTTCGAGGCAGAAGGAATGCAAATTAAAATTGGTATCTCCCCCACCTTTTGGTCTTCTCCGGGGTCTTCGTTTCTCCGGAAGTTCTGTGTGAACAGCAAATTGAATGAGGTGAGAGAAGCAATCGATATCCCGGTGGCAGATGGAGAAATCTTTAAGTTCCTTTAAGTCTGGATATCCAATTTCCTTTTGCCCAGAAAGCAACCACAACACGTGTCGGTTGTTTTGAAGCACTTGGAAAAAATTCTGAGGGCTTATAAATCATTTTATTTACTTGATAAAGAAATAATTAGGGTTTTGAAAGGGCTCCCAAAAGTATGCTTTAAAATATTTGTATTTCAAAATTCTAAGAATTCATTAATTTAATATCTATTTTTCTTTTTTAGAATATTTTTTCATTTGTGCTTTAATATTTATATAAATATATATATATATATGATAAAAATATCATATTATTGAAAGCTATTTTCATTTAATTTAAATGATTTTTACTTACAAAGTTTTGTTTTATTTTACTTTAAAATGAAAAAAAATTTTAATTTTAATTTTTAAATATAATTAAATATTTAAGCTCCTTAATGTTGAGACTAAATACTTTGCGTAGAGTTTTTTTCACTGCATACTCGAAATTAGGAGTACTTACCACATCACAGACACAGAAATTAGGCTAAAAGTGCGCAGCCAATAATGTTTTGCCCACTTACGAATTACGAAATACGAAATTTGTTGGCGGCTGTTTTAGCCAGCGCAACAGAGTCGTATGCAAACTTTATTAATTACGCGCCCCAATGACCATTTCAAACATTTCGAACATGAAAATCTTCTGCGAGTCCGGCGAAACTTTGGCTGTTTACTATTTTTCCCTAAATTGAGTTTCGCCCCCCAAACCATTGTCCATGTTATGCAATTTGCACCAGCAGCAGCAGCGAAAATGAAATAAAAGTTGTCCGAATTAAAAATTCAACAGATTTCATTCGGAAAATCAACAGCTCAACAGAACGTGCAATAACAAGAATCAAATCAATGAATTAAACAAGAATAACAATGTTTGCTTGCGAAACTGAAATGGCCAATAAAATGCATAACGAATTTCATAGCAAAAAAATAATAACAGCATAATCCGATTGTAGTTGCCAAGTTTAAATAAAACCCCTGAACGATTTAAGAATCGTTCGTGGAATTAAAAACAAATGAATTTTCAAATAAAGATTATTTTTTATAAAAAATAATACAAAAATATTACAAGAATGGCAACTCTAGAAAAAGGCTGCAGTAAAATAATTCTGTTAGTTCTAGAAGTATTTGGAAATTAAAACCAAAAACTCTACCAAGGTAAAAAAAGTTATTTTTAATGCCTTTTAAAATATTATTAATAACAATTAAATATATGTGTTAAATAACATTAGTTACAATGTGACCTTACTTTCAACTAATCTACTAAAACAAGTAGGAATTCCAACTCTGGGACCAAATGTCAAATGTCAATTAATTATTAAATCTGCACCATCATCTGAGAAAGCAATTATAGAACGAGCGTTGTTAAAATTGACAAAAAACCCTAGCATGTCAATTGACCCACAAACGATTAAGAATTCAACAAATCCAGCTGAAATCACCGAAGAAAAAGAGTTCCTAGCTAATATTGGTTTGACAACGTAGGAAAATATATAAATAAATTTTAATTAATAACAATTCATTAATAAAAAAAAGTAATAAATATTTTGGTTACTGTTCGTAGAATGTCAGAGGCTCGCCAGCGTCAGCAGATAAAACCAAAAAAAGTGGTGCAAGACTTTGAAGATGATGAGTTATTCATAAAGCGGCCCGATTATGTCGAGCGGGACCCGATTAAAGTTGAGAAACCTGATCAGCGGAAGACTCCAAAGAAAGACGCGTCCGAAAAAAGTGGATGTTCTTCGGGGGACGATGAAGAAGAAGTCAGGAAGAAGCCCGAACCTATTTGCTGCATACCCGGAAAGAAGTAAGTAAAGTTTGGAAACTGGATTATATCCGAAATTATTTCTTATAGATATGTTTGATAAATCATAATTGATTATTTGAAAACATAATTTAACTTATGATTTTATGATAAAAATTTGTAGCCAATCACATGCTGGAAATCTAATGTTAAACATGACTTTACATATGTCTAGTTATAAGAAAAGTTTTAAAAAGTTAGAGTGTGTTATTTTGGAAACTAAACGATGTTTGTTTTGTATGCCAGAAAATGTATTCGAATATTTTAAAGTGATCTAAAAAACGAACAATTTTGAACCTCAATATCTCCGGATTTAGGAATTGGATTTACTTTATTTCTTTTGTATTACTTTTTTTGAAATCCAGGCAAAGCAAACAATATTTTATAAAACAGATATTTTTATAATACAGATTTCCATGCAGTAAATAGGAAAGTCACTATATTTTTTGTATACCCCTTCCATAGATTGTACAACTTCCTGAAGCAACTCAACTCGCACCGTTGGATCTGGTGCGAGTTCGTCGAGTCCTTCCTGGACAAACCGATCCTGGCCTGCGCCTACGACATGGAGCGCTTCATCAGCGAGTGCTGTCCGCTTTTGGGAACCCGCTGTTTGCCACGCAGAGGATGGCAGCTTTTGCGAAGGAATATGGGAAAGGCGCGTCGCTTCTCGCCGGCCTTCATCGAACAGGAACGTGGGGAGTTCGAGCGTACACGTCGCATTGTCCGGCAGTTGCAGCAATATCGTTTCAATGACCAGGAGGACGGTCCCTACTTGGAGCAAATACCCAAGCGTATCCCATTGCCCTTGGCGACAGATGCCAAGGTCACGGGATTTCTGCAAGGACACTCGCTCAAGGGCATCACCGATGGCTGTGTCATGGACTACGATCCGCAGGATAGTACTTATCTGGTGAGGTTTGTCAAGGATGGCAAGACTGCGGTTCTAAGTCTTCAGGATTGGCGACTCCATTCGGATCAGGATTCCACTACCTTACCATTATCCATTATGATGCATGGCACCAAATCGGTGCCATGGATTAAAAAGGAGAGTACGAAAACCGAAAAGTTTGGCAATAAGAGATATAACAAGGAGCTCTTGGAATCTGTGCTTCAGGTTAAGAAATTACTGGATGTCAAACAGAAAACCGTAATGGATATTTCCGAAATGAATGAGAATTTCGAGGGTGGCAAGGATGCAGGTCCTTCAAGCAGTCGTCGCGATGCCAAGATGACACCCCAAAAGGAAAAACTTCAACGTCGCTATGCGGCCAATATGATAACGCTGCATCGTGTGAACTCGGATGTCCTGGAACCTTTACATATCCTCCACGAATACCTGGCTGATTATAAAAAACAGGAGGAGGAACAGGAGGCACGGGGAGGAAGACCCGCCAGCGAAGTCTATCAAAAGTGTCGCATGCAAGCGGAACTGGATCTTAAAACAGCCTTGATGGAGAAATCCCTGAAAATCCAATCTGATCGAACCCGTGAGTTCATTTGCAATCTGCACACTATACTATATTTGAATGGCAGGTTGAGTCGCGAATATAGCTGCGATATGGAGGCTGTTCTCGCGGATCTTATATCGCATATGGTGGATAATATCCCGTCATCCTTGGGTCTTCAGTTTAAAGAGGCCTTGGACTCTCTGGAACCCCTGCGTCAGCAAGTGTTGGACATATTTAAGAACAACCCAAAGCCGGAACGTTTTCAAATCACCCAACAGGCTCCCATGCAAACGGAGGATGGTGTGTACAACTTTGTGGTCGAGGCACAGCCTTCGGATCCTTAGAAAACTGAAAACCTGAAATAAAGCCTCGCCCTTATTTATGGCTCAATTAGTTGCGAGTGTCATGTGCATTGGGGAGTTGGGAGTTTTTCGTCGGGTGGAAGAGCTTTCCGAAGTTTAACCTTCCTCCTCTGAAGTTGCAACATTGTAATGCTCTCTCGAAGTATTTATATCAATGGGTATTCGAGCGAGCAAAGGGGCGTAGCACGTGGTTCTACGAATTCTCTTAAAAAGCCTTCTTAAAATATACGCTGTACGTACAAGTTTCCTGGGGCACGTCGCACATGAAGTCAGCCGTAAAACAGTTGACAGATTGGCAAGCAAATAAGTAATGCGTATGTGAACGAAACCGTTAAGGGTGCACTCCAAAAAATAAATTCCCTTGGTATTTTAAAATTCAGGAACTGCAAGGAACTCTAAAATTTTTTTTAGGGGTTTTTTCATCAACCGCTGGGTTTTCAACATTTTATTTTAGTTTGTAATTTTACTTATAAATATTAAACATTTTTATTGGCTAGTTTGGGGCTGATTAATTTTTACAAAATATTATTTACTAATTTCAAGAAATGTTTATACAAAATATTACTTTTAATTCGAAGTCTTTAATTTACGTTGGAATACAAAATTTTGTCAAGATTGTTTTTTTTTTGTTATTATTTAGGTATTCAATTTTTTTATTTATTTTTAAGTGTTTCTATTTATTTCCCTTTATTTACCTAATATTATATATTTAAATATTGCAATCTTTTTTATTTTTTATGCTCTAATTTTTACAAAATATTATTTACTAATTTCAAGAAATGTTTATACAAAATATTACTTTTAATTCGAAGTCTTTAATTTACGTTGGAATACAAAATTTTGTCAAGATTTTTTTTTTTTTGTTATTATTTAGGTATTCAATTTTTTTATTTATTTTTAAGTGTTTCTATTTATTTCCCTTTATTTACCTAATATTATATATTTAAATATTGCAATCTTTTTTATTTTTTATGCTCTACCCAAAATCCCCTTCACAAAGTAGGAATTCAAATTTTTCCATTTCAGAGCCAAATTTTGCTACTTCAACGTTGCAACCACATAAATCAGCATTTACGAGTTAAGTGTTTTCTATTTTTTAATTACCAGATGGATGCACTATGCTCGTAAATTGTGTGGGTAAGCCACCGTTACTCCGAGGAATTTACCAACTCCCATGAGGCAGCCATAAAGACATCATTAATATGCCTCCGGCTGCACTGCGTCCCTGTTTTTTTCTCCCCCCGGGAAGAGAAATGATCGTCGAAAGAGCTAATGGTGTGTGTCCTGCGGGAATGGACTCTGGCCATTTGGCGTTCGGATGTGTCGTCATCGGGACGGGACACACAGTAGCCAAGATGTGCGTATCCTCCATGGAATCCTCCGGACTCCGGAGCGGCGAGGCTCGTAAATATTTATAATGCGTGGAAGCTGCAGGGGCGGCGACTGCTGCTATAAATTTATAGAGTGCTGAATGCCTTGCAGTCTACAACTGTGGTAAATGCTTTAGATTTTAGGAGCTTAGAAAATATTTATGTAGGGGTATATTTTTCAATTTAGTACCTATTTTTTAAATATCAATTACAAAATCCATTTTTGAATTGGTTTCAAAATAATTAAGATAGTAATATTTGTCATAAGTTCTTAGTGACAAATTCTGCAAATGGATTTTTGAATAAGGTTAAATCAAATTTCACTTTTAATAATTAAATAAAAATAAAATTGCAACCAATTCGTAGGACTTATTTTCTTTAAAAGCAATTGTAAAAATATGAAATTCAATATTTTTCTAGGTTCGTAATAAAATTTCCAATCGACTTACATTCAAAACTAAAAAGTTAATTTTCGACCATTTTTGGAAAAAAAGAACAGTATACAAAATTTTAAAAAGTATTTATACCAAAAAATTATTTAAACAAATGAACATGAAATGATTACGATGAGTTCGTAATGCAAGTATTAAATAATTAGGTTTTTTTTAATAATAATATTATTTTAACGACCACAGTGTGTACATAACTTAATAAAACTTTCATTTAGACATTAACTTGATAAATGAACTTGAAGCAACTATTTATAGCATCCCAATATCCTGGGAAACTTTAAGTACACCACTGGAAAAGTGGCCAGACTTGGTAGTTTGACATCAAGCATCCCACGAGCTAGAAAAACAAACGTAGCAAATGGCAGCAAATAAATGTTGGCTGGACAACTTTATCCGGTCAAAGTACCCGCCGTGGAAAACTCGAGTGGGGAAAACTTGGCTACGCGTGCTAAATGAAATTCAATACGCCGCCTTCGCCTTACATAATGCATTCTCGCATTCGCGATGACTAAAGTTTTTTGTTCTCCGTTGACACTTGATCATTAATTATATTTGCGCGTGGCGGGGCATCGTTTATATGGAATTGAATCAATACATAACAGCTTAAGTGGCAACATACTTATATGTATAAGTGTGTATATATAATCGTACATCCACATGCCATGGCAAAGCAATCGTATAAAAGCGGCAAACCTAATTGATTAACGACTCTGAAAGGCTGGTGTGCGGATGTGGATGCGGATGTGGGTGTACGGATGTGGAATGGATTAATCCGAATACCAAGGAAACTTTCGCCACAAGCCGCTCAATTTGCTTTATTAAATTGTCATCTATGGTTGGCCTTTGGCTTTGCTTTGGGTTAAGTCATAGTGAGCCAAAAAATTTGGGTCAGCAATTGCTCGCTGATTAGAAAGCCCTCGAGCGCTAGAAGTGGGTGTGGCACGTTGTCCTGGCCCTGTTTTGTTGCCACCGGCTAATCATTTATCGCAGTAGGTTCCTAGAATATTTCTAGCATTATTTTCGCCGAAAACTCGACGGGCGGTGTACCTTAATTAGTATAGTGTACTTTATTTAGGGAGCAATGAAACATGAAGACCCTTTAAGATTATATTATTTTTAAAAGTATTTGTAAATATTTATCATCTTATAATTCATTTTTTTTAGAAAGTTTTAGATTATTTTTTTGAATTGCCTGTTTCACATAAAGATTCGCTTACAATTTCTCATATAAAAAATCTGAAACATAAGTCAAATGGATTGTGGGTTTTTAATTACAATTTGAGTGCTGTTAAATGGCCCATTTAATGTTAAGCATTAAGATTAATTTTATATGAACCAAGTGAATCAAGATGTTTTTATGTAGCATACTTTTCTGGGCTTACAGATTTTAATCAGCTTATTGCCATTATTGCGTAATTGGTTCATTTGATATTGATGGTTGGCATTTTCTGTCGGTTACATAATAAATATAAAATTAATATTCCCCCTCCTGGGAAAAATGCAGGCGCTTGTGTAGGTTTTTGGCTGAAGAGCTGTAAGTGAAGCATTTTATACGGTTGTAAATCAATGCGCGGCAGTCAGAAACTCTACTCGTAAGGCACTGAGAAAAAATAAGTGGGACTTCAGAGAAATGTTTTAATATTAAAAAAGGAATTTTAAAAGGAATTGTCATACAAAATTAGAATTATTTTTTAAGTATTTTAGGAATTTACAGTTTAAATATCATAAAGAAAAAATTAGGATGGTTTTTGAACCACTTATTTCGATTTAAAAATTTAAAATTTAAATACTTTATTTTAAATTAAAAAAATTCTAATGAATTTAAGACTACTTCCAGTGTATTTGTGTGTGAGCTTTTTACACATGTGTGCGTGGGGTGCCAAATGATTTATGAAATGGGCAGCAGTTTGTGGCGGCAGCTGGAAGACAGGGGTCAGGGGTCAGCGGGTTTGTTGGTCAGCGGGACACGAAATGCAAATGTGCAACAATAACGAAATGAAAGCGAAAACAAATACAAAAGCTAAAGTAACTGTAAACAGTGAGGAAAAACTAAAAGAAAAATGGTGGCAAAAAAAAAGAGAAAGAAAAACAAAAGCACAGCCGGCGGCATTTCATCCATAAAGCGGAAATAATGGCTTAAGTTTGGTTACGCTTCTGCTTACGTTATAAATTACAATGATTGACGTCGCGTGTTTTGGCCAGAGCCACAGCTTTAATTATGCCTGAAATATGTGCGACTATTTATTTTGCAGCGTTCAGGCCATGAATCGATGTGCGAAATATGTGAAAATATTTAACTTGGCCCCGACAGAAAACCTTTCATGCCCCCACATTTCATATTCACAGAATTCAGGCTTTCACAGATGCACAAAAACCGAAGAGCAATTAGACGGCTTCATGGCAGAGCCTCAGTTTCGAGTCGGTTCTTTCATATTTGCGGAAAGCCAATGGGTTGTGACACATATATTGCTGGCCGTAATTGGAAACCAACAGGCCAAATAGGGGCTCTTAAAATTCTGGCATTTTAAGTTTCTTGGAAATTTAGATAAGGAAAAAATTCATAAATTTCTATGTTTTGGTTAATATTTTTTTGTTTAACCAGGAAAATATCTTAAGACAATTTTTAATGATCGATTTTAAAGGTTACCATCTTAAAGCTTAATTTATATGGTGTAACTTGTTTAATACGGGAAACATTTTCAGACAAGATTTAAAGTTTTTAAAGCACCACTTAAGGCTATAATTAATATTAATAAATGCTTTGATTAAACGGCAAAATACTAGGACTATTTGGAATGTTAAGTTATAAGTTAAATCGATTTTAAACAATAATTCAAAATTTAATAGAAAAGTTTTCACTTAGACATTTATAGTTTTGTTTCCTTAATCTCGACCACTTTATGTTTATTCTCTTCAGTCTAATCTTGCTAAATGCCATTCAGTATTGCTGACTAAGATTAATTTAAGAAGTGGACAAACATCAAGTCCTGCACATTCGATAGCCTTGCACACAGATTCACAATCTCAGCTCAGTTTATTTGTTCATCTGCCAAATGTTTTGGCCTTGGGCTCATTCTCCTATCTGCAGTACATAAAAATATATACTACATAGAATATATTCTCGTACATTTTCATGTTTGGCCGGTTGGCTATCAAATCT